TCTCCCTCATCTCTGGGTACCTGCTGTCTCCCTCATCTCTGGGTACCTGCTGTCCCCCTCATCTCTGGGTTCCTGCTGTCTCCCACACATGTAAATAAACTTTAAAAAAAAATTAATAAGTTAGAGAGAGGACTAGAAGTCATATTGTGTGTACCTTTGGCCTCCACATGCACAGACCACATATGTATGTACACACACACACACACACACACACACACATGATGAAAATGCTCTCTTCCTCTAACTCCCCTTCTCAGTTATTTTTCCATGCTCCTAAGTTTCATTTCCCAAAGATCTGACAATCGTGTTGAGTTTGCAAAGGATAACTGGGTTTCGTTTTTTCCCTTTTGAGGAGGGGTCTCAGGTAGCTCAGGATGGCCTCGAACTCACTATGAAGCTGAAACTAGTCATTGACCCAATTCTCCAGCCTCCATGTTCAGTGCAGGGATGGTGGGCCTGTGCCACCAGCCAGTCCAGTTCTGGACATTTATTTATTTATGGGAGTGGAGCACAGGCCTTGGTGCGCATGTGGAGGTCAGAGGGCAACCTGCAGTAATGAATTCTCCGCAGGTGCCTGCCCTGAGGAGATTTCTACCAGGGTCCAGAACAGATGCTACAAGCCGCTGGGTTACTCATCCGAGGGAAACCAAGTGAATCTAAGCACACAGAGCTCTTTAGTCCATTCATTTCGTTCTTCTAAATCAACTCTAGCTGCACAGCTTCTTTTCTGTGCTCATACTTAGCTCCTCTCTGTCCTTCTGCTGCTCCCTCACTGTTCTACCTAGTTCTTTCCATGTTCTTATCTTTGTTCCCCCAAACACACACACACACACACACACACACACACACACACACACACACACACACACACACACATCCATTCATTAACAACTTGGTAGTAAAAACTACAAAATGCACTTTCAGGGACAAGTATTCTGGTAAGAGTCACACTTGGCGAAGACTCCTCAGCTTCACTGGTGACTGACAGCAGCTGTAGGTTGTAAAGTTCTGGCCATCTCTTAAAGGGAGAGCTACATGGGTTACAAGGGAAGACGTTAAACCTATGAGAGATTTAAGGAAAAGGCAAAGAATATGTGTGCTATTTTATGTGATTAATAATATCCAGACATGGGCGGTGGTGGCGCACGCCTTTAATCCCAGCACTCGGGAGGCAGAGGCAGGCGGATCTCTGTGAGTTTGAGGCCAGCCCGGTCTACAGAGTGAGTTCCAGGAAAGGCTCCAAAGCTACACAGAGAAACCCTGTCTTGGAAAAACCTAAATAAACAAACAAACAAACAAACAAACAAATAAATTCAGGCGTGGTTCATCAGTTAACAGTCTTTTTCTGTTAGTCACCTGAATCTCAGGACTTACCTATACATAATTAGTCTACTGAGCCTAAAATCTTGCATTAAAAACTGGTGTAGAAATAAATACAAAGTGTTAATTGTTTTTTTAATCAGAGGGGGAGGTGCCGGTGGAGGAAGCTTAGGGCAACATAGGTGCTGTTGATCTCCTGAAGGACTGAGCCAGACACCTGCTCTATCACTTCTGGTTCACTATAATTCTTCTGAAGGGTTTTGATCTAACAAGGCTGGGCACCTGCAGTTCCACTCTGTGAAAGTTCTACGAGGACACTTTGGCCAATATTTACCTTGTCAGTGGCTAAGGATGGAGAACTAGACCTCTAAGCATCTACAGTCCACATGGAACAATAGATCTAGCATAAAGCATATTTTAGTAGGTTTCTATTCATAAAAAAATGTACAGTTAAATAAGAAACCATCTTCTAGACTATCTATAATTATGTGTGTCCATAAGATTGAGAGGCAGTCGTGAGATTACATGTACACATTACATGGAAATGCATGGTAAATGGGGAGAATCATGGCTGTTATTACACAAGAAGTTTACAAGAGACAGCCAGTTCATTCAAAAGGCAGTAATTCCATAATGCCTTGTGTGATGCTTTCCTCTAGCAGAACCCTTAGTTCTGATAGGTGGACCTTCTGAACTCTAGCTGTCACTGCTGTATGCTCCAGTAGTCTTTTGCTACCAGTAGCTCTATGGGTGACTATGGAGGTCCAGCCCCTTGATAGTCCCTTCCCAGGGTCCCAGAAGAATCTACAACCAGCTGATAATTTAATCTTTGATGAAAAGAAATGAATCTATGTACACGAAACTCCTTAGTCCATACACTTTGTTATTCTGTGACAGTTCTCTCTCTACACAGCTTATACTCTGCTCTCATGCCTAGCTCCTTTCTTGCCTGATTTCTCTCTACCTTTATCTGCTGTCCTCTCTAAGTTCTATCTTAATTCTCTCACCTCAGTTCTGCCCCATCTAGGTTCTCATCCATCTTGTTCTTTCCCATATCAGTTCCTCTCCCATCTCCTTTCTCATCTTGTTCTTCCCCGTCTGGCTCTTCCTCATCTTCCATCTCGTTCCTCTTGTCCTCTCTTCTTGCCCTTCAATCCAGTTCTTCCCATCTAGTCTGTTCCTCTCCAGTTCTTACCCATCTTCTAGTTCTTCCATTCTCTTTTCTCTTTTCTGTCTCATCCTCAAGTCCGCTCTTCAAAATCCTCCTCTCTCTCCTACCTCGCAATTCTCCTTATTCTCTCCATTCTCCCCAAATCTTTCAGGAATCCAGTTATAATGCCAAGCAATAGCAATAGCAATCCTCTGGCAGAGCAAGGTCACCAGGCTTGAGTTCTTACAGGGTCATAAAGACAGATAAGAATTTTCCTCAGATAGGTGAGACAGTTGATTGGCTTGATCAGTTTGGGAGGCAACTAGGCAGTGGGACCAAGTCCTGTGCTCATTGCATGAGTTGGCTGTTTGAAACCTGGAACTTATGCAGGGACAATTGGCTCAGTCTGGAAGGAAGGGACTGGACCTCCCTGGACTGAGTCTACCAAGTTGATCACAGTCCTCGGGGGAGGACTTGTCCTGGAGGAGGTGGGAATGGAGGGTGGGCTGGGGGTAAGGGGAGGGGCTGGGAGGGGGGAGAATAGGGGAACCCATGGCTGATATGAGGAACTGAATGGTATTGAAAATTAAAAAAATATATATATATTAAAAAAAAAAAGAATTTTCCTCAGGCAGTGACCACCAGGCTTTCTTTTATAACCCAAAAGGTGAGTGGTAAAGGAGGAGGTCAACTGAGAGCTAATGACCGGTTAGTATATCAAAAGGGGGATCTATGTGCTCAGTCTGCATTCCTAGAAGTGGTTAGGTAAGAAGTTAGGGGTCTATTTAGTAAGGTTGTATAAGAAAGGAGGGTCTCACCCTAAATAGCAAAAGAAATAAAGCTATCAGCCTGACCTAGGAGACAGGTGTTGTTTCGTTTGGCCTTGGATGCTTGATAGGCATTTTAGATAAATATGCTGTTAGGAGTTCTTGGAAGCACGCATAGCATGACAAGAAAATCACTGTAGGAACCAGCTAATATACATACAAAAGCTAAAATATCACGGAGACTCCTTGAGCGATGGCTTGACCTTTGGAGAAGTCCTTGACTTCTCTAAGCGATGGCTTTTGTGAAAGTGGCTGAATTCCATCATTTCCCTGTGGCTCACAGCACAGCTCTCAACATTGCAGGGGCCGCTTCCCTGCCTCCACCCTCCACCATCTGAGTTCTAGGGACTGAACTCAGGCTGTCTGGCTCCGTGGCAAATGCCTTTACCCACTGAGCCGTCTTGCCAGCCCTGTAAAAATGTTTTCTAAATGGGTAGGAGGAAATATCCCCAAGTACAAAAATAAACAAGCCACCCACAAATTAAAATTTTCAGAGAGAAAGGACTAGGAGATGCCACAGGGGAACTGACCCTCAGTCCACACAGCAGGCTGGGAAAAGCACGAGATGGCTCCCGCTGCATGGGGAAGGACCGTCCCCCGGCCTCCTCTACATCCAAGCCAGCAGTCCTGGGACCTTCTCCCCTACAGCATCACCCTGGTTTGTCTCCAGAGACTGCCTGTCACTGTCACTCTTGTTAGGGGGACTTTCCACGAAATCAGACCACACTGGTGCCCTGGAGAGATGGTTCTGTGGTAAATAACTCATTAGCAAGCCACAGGTTCCCCATGCACCTCATTTAGAGGTTGCATCTCTTGGGGCTCCAGCTGCTCCTAGGACCTTCCTTGCTCTGTGGCTGCAGCCCCAAACCTCCCTCTGCAGCAGGCTGGACCCTGTCCCTGTGAGCCTGCAGGGACCCTGGAGGAGCTGCCTGACATTCTGTCACCAAGATTCCTGAACAGGATGTGTGGCCTGGGCCTTTCTGCTGCTCAGAAGGCTGAGGCCAGAGCTAGCCTGGGCAACATTGGAGCCCTGACTCAAAACACCAGAAACTTACCTGTTTCCCTCACATGTGCCCATGCATGGACCCACACACGCACGCGCACACACACACATCACGTGTACATACACACTTGAATGCACGGGTGCATGTGTGCACATATACACACAATTACTCAATTACTACTCAATTACGACTTCTGGGTGTTCTTCTTCCTCCTCCCTTCCTGTGCATCCTTTTTCCTTCTCCCCCTCTCCTCCCCTCCCCCTTCCCTCCCCCCCTTCCTCATCCCTCCCCTTCCTCACTCCTCCCCCTCCATCCTGTAGCTGTTGCCGAGCTTCACTCTTCTGAGATACGTCTTCCTTTGCTGCCCATGTTGGCCTAGAACTCACGCTCCTCCTGCCTCAGCCCCCTCCCGTCTGTCTCCCTGCCAGGCTCTCCTGGGCGACCAGTATGGCCCCTGCCTGGTTCCCCAACGGATCGAGGAGAAAGAGTGGGAAGCGCTAAGGGCCCAGCTAACCTCCAGGCCTCGGGATCTGGAGCTGGTGGCCAGGCATTTCCGGAGGGACGACAACGCCATCCCCCCCACCTACGTGCTGCAGCCTCCGGGCTCTGTGGAGGCCCCAGGGCCCGAGGAGGCCACCTTGACCTCTGTCCTGCGAGGCGGAGCTCAGGAGGCCTGGAGGCTGGGCCTCATCAGCCAGGAGCAATGGAAGTGTTACAATCGATCAGGTGAGGCCCAGGGAACCCCAGGGGTCCGTGTGACATCCAAGACAACACACATCACCCAGGACCTCAGACACACGTGTGTCATCTCAGTGTCAAACCTGCTTGGCTTCCCGGAGATTGCACAGCCCTAGCCAAACCAGTGTCAGCTTCTGGGACCCTTCTCCTGGCCCTGGCTCTGCCCTCCTGGCTCCCAGAGTGACCACCATCCCCATTTGCCGGGGACTGAGGGTGTCCAAGAATGCATTCATTTTTTTATATGCATTTATTTATTGGCTGGAGAGTGTGTGCCAGCTGTGGAGACATGTGGAGGTCAGAAGACAATTTGCAGGAGTCAAACCCAGGTTATAAAGCTCAGCCACAAGGGCCTTTACATGCTGATGCATCTCACTGATCCTAGAATGCTGTGTGTGTGTGTGTGTGTGTGTGTGTGTGTGTGTGTGTGTGTGTGTGTGTTGGAAGGTGCACTTGTGGGGGTGTGCACACATGTGACCTGAGCTTGTCAGGTGTCTCCCGATTGTGCATTGAGGCCGAGTCTCTCACTGAACCCCAGTTCGTAGATGAAGCCAGTGTCGGTAGCCAGCTTGCTCCAGAGTCCCTGTCTTGTTTCCAGTGTGCTAGGTGACAGTCAGTTATCACCCTACCGAGCTTTCCTGTGAGCACTGAGGATATGAACTGTGTCCTCGCTAATAGATGGCAAACTCTTCACCCACTGACCATTGTCCCAGCCTCCTGGGGGCTTTTTCTTTTTTCTTTTTTTTTGGACAGGATCTCATGTAGCCCAGGCCAGCCCTGAACCTGTTATGTAGCCAAGGATGACTTTGAGCTCCTGATCTCCTGCCTCTGCCTCCAGAGTATTGAGACACAGCTGTACATCATCACACCGGGGGTATGTGGTGCTGGGGGTGGATCCCAAGGCTTCCTGCACACTGGGCAAGCCCAGAAATGTATATAAATAGTTTTGCTGTACATGCAGCAAGACTCATAATTCAACTTAACATTGGTGCATTGCAATTAACTAGAGTTCAGACAATACCAGGTCCTTCCATCCCAGCTTTTTTTAGTCTTCCATTTTGAGGCAGAGTCTTAGTCACCCAAGCTGGCCTTGAACCTGTGATCTTCCTGCGTCAGCCTCCCGAGTGACTGAGGTAACAGGCCTGTGACTTCATGCCTGCCTTAAGGGGACATTGGGTGACTCTTGTCCTTGACTGGAATGCAGTGTCTCCAAGGGCCTGGCTCTCCCATCTGTGGAGAGCTGGGAGCCTTCACTGAACCCAGAGAGGCTTCAAAAATAACTCCTCAGGTCTGGCTGCTGCTAAAAAACAAGAGCCTCCTGAGACAAGTCAGTTCAGGCTTCTAGAAAATAAGAGTCCAGGGGTGTTGCTGGGGAATGACTCGGCAGCATAGCACTGACTGCTCTTCTAGAGGACCCGAGTTCAGTTCTTTTCTGCGCCCCCAGACTCCGTACTCACAGGCACAAACCCACACATATGCACATAATTAATAACAAAGACAAGCCGGGCGGTGGCGGTGCATGCCTTTAATCCCAGCACTCAGGAGACAGAGGCAGGAGGATCTCTGTGAGTTCGAGGCTAGTCTGGTCTACAGAGCGAGTTCCAGACGGTCAAGGCTACATAGAGATAAATCATGAAAAGATAAAAGAGTCCTGAGCCAGCTGCAGCACACCCCAGCACGGGGGCCGGCCAGCTGCAGCACACCCCGGCATGGGGGCCGGCCAGCTGCAGCACACCCCAGCACGGGGGCCGGCCAGCTGCAGCACACCCCAGCACGGGGATCGGCCAGCTGTGGTAACGGTGCCAAGCCTGGCCCACAGCTTGTGTTTGAACTACAGTTTCATTGACACTCTCAGGCACATTCATCTGGGTATCATCTGTTGCATTCTTGCTACGATGTCAGAACTGTCCGATTGTGACAGATTCATCTTCTTTGGCCCTTTCTGGGTGAGGTGCCAAGCTTGTTCCCAGACAGCAGCTGCCACTTCTACCCAGCTGGTCAGTAAAGACTCCACTCTGTAATTATCCTTTCTCCTTCCTCTCTGCCTTCACATCCACCTTGTCCCCATCACTGGGAGGACAGTCTCATTCACTTATCACCTGTTTCCAGGTGACCCTCGATGCCGAGTCCCTGTGTGGTGGACCACGGAGGCCAATACATGCAGGAGCTGGGTGTTTGTTGATTGACTGTTCGAGGGAGACCCTGTAAGCAGATACACTGAGGTGACACTCACAGAGCTGAAATTCCCGTTTGTAAAGCAAACAGTTTAATACTCACCATGCTGTGTGGTGCCACCTTGGTCTAGTTCCAGAACATTCTATCACCTTAGCAGGAGGCTGTTTCCCTAGCCCAGCTGCAGAAGTCCATTCATCTGCTTGCTGTCTATGCACGAGCCTGTTCTGGACATTTCTTATCAACAGAATCACACACTGTCTGGTTTTATTATTTATTTATTTATTTATTTATTTATTTATTTATTTATTTATTTATTTATTTATTTATTCTTCTGAGGCAGAGTCTCCTTGTGTAGTCCAGGCTGACTTAGAACTTTGTATGCTGAGCCAATGAGATGGCTCTGGAGGTAAAGGTGCTGGCCACCAAGTCTGGTGACCCGGTTCAATCCCGGTGACCCACATGGTAGAGGGGGAGAACGGACTCCCACCCGTCCCAACTGCAGTCTTTTGGGTTGCGTGTGTGAATGTGCACGTCTGTGTGGGTGCGTGGAGCCCAGAGCAGGACATCAACCTTGCCCTTGGTCAACTCTCACCTGACTCCTTCAAGACAAAGTCTCTCCTGGACCCTGAAGCTCACAGTTAGGGTAGGCTGGCTGGCCATCAAGATCCTGGCATGACTCCAGAGAGGCTGGCCTCTGGTCTCCACAGGCATGATGTGTAAATACCCTTCCCACCCCCACACACAAGTGCGTATCCCACGCGGGCTTCTGCAAGCTGCCCCATGTGAATGTCCCATTTGTTGGCCTTGACATGTCTGGAACCTGTCTCCCCAAAGCCCCTCACAGGCCTCGGCGACCCTGATGACCCCTCCTGTTCTGTTTTGCAGTCATTGAGTGGGAGATCGAGCAAGGCCTCCTGAGCTCAGCACAAGGGGACCAGGGAGCGACCATCTTCCTGAGAGATGTACAGGACCTCAGTAAACACATTTTGGACGATTGTTCTCTGAAGATGGTGGATCGGCTGGCGGATGGCTGCCTGGACACCGGAGCCCAGACTCTTCTCAGTGGCCTTAAGGAACGAATACTGGAAACCCAGCCTGGAGCCCTAAAGTCCCACCGCCTGCCCTGGAGCCGCGACCTGGTCAATCCCAAGAACAAGGCTCATGCCCGCTACCTGAAGGAGCTGAGTGAGCAGTTCGTGGCCAGGACCAACCATCAGGTCCTGGAGCAACTTCGAGAGCTGGAGTCAGCCAGACAGGAGCTGGGCTGGCTCTACCAGGAGATCCGCCACCACCTCTGGCGCAGTACAGAGTCCACCAGGATCTTCTGTGGCCACCAGGAGCTCCTGGCCCAGCTGGGGCAGCGGCTCAGACAGGATGACAGCCGGCCCCATACTCCGCTGGTTCTCTTCGGTCCACCGGGCATCGGGAAGACGTCCCTCATGTGCAAGCTAGCCGAGCAGGTACCAAGGCTCCTTGGCCACAAGACGGTGGCCGTCCTGAGGCTGCTGGGGACATCAAAGATGAGCCTGGATGCCCGAAGCCTCCTCAGGAGCGTGTCCTTTCAGGTGTGCTTGGCCTATGGCCTGCCACTGCCCCCAACCCAGGTCCTGGAGGTCCACGCCAGGGTGGGCCACTTCTTCCACACCCTCCTCCACACTGTGTCTTGGAGGAACTTTGAGTCTCTGGTGCTGCTCCTGGACTCCGTTGATGATCTAGATTCCACACGCCATTCTCGGAGGGTCTCCTGGCTCCCCCTCAGGTGTCCCCCAAAGGTGCATCTCATCCTCTCTACATGCTCAAGCCAGCAGGTGTTGCACACCCTGCAGCAGACCCTCAAGGACCCCAGCGCCTACTGGGAGGTGAAGGCCCTGTCTGGATGTCAAGGACAGGAGTACATCCAGCTGCTGCTGGCTGCAGAAAGGAGGACGCTGAGCCCGGCTCAGAGGGATGTCCTCTGGGCCAGCCTCCCAGAGTGCGGCCACCCAGGGCGGCTAAGGCTGGCCTTTGAGGAGGCCCGGAAGTGGGCCTCCTTCACTGTGCCAGTGCCCTTGGCCACCACAGCTGAGGAAGCCACTCACCAGCTCTGCATCCGCCTGGAGGAGACCCACGGGCAGCTGCTGGTGGCCCACGTGCTGGGCTACATTGTGTCTTCCAGGTAAGTGACCTCCCCTCCCCGCCTCCCTCCCTCCTTCCCTCCTTCCTTCCCTCCCTCCTTCCTTCCCTCCCTCTCTCCTTTTCTCCCTCC